GAGGGGAGGGAAAAGGTTTTGCTGAAGCTTTTTTAACCTTTTCTGCTCACGTTGTGCTCTGAACAAGCTAACAGCAAAAATTGGCCCTGTAGATTTCAGAGCTGCTGTTTAACCTGCAGCGTGTCGTACCCAGTGCCAACTCAACCCTGGGTATCAGCATCCGACTCTAAGGTGCACCTGTAAGATTTTTGTTTTCCTTCCTCCCACACGTCACACCTCGGCCTTTTCCCAGTTAGCTTCGTGTTCCTCCAGGGGTGGGAGCGTGTTCGTGCTGCATGTGGTTTTAATGCGGGTCCTCGGAAACTCATGGATCGCTCATCCCAGGAAACACAGCATCAAAAAAAAAGGGGAGAGGGAACATCCCTCTCGCTGTGAGCAGTGATCGTCTCCACGCAGGCATGAGAGGAAGGGCTGTCTGTCTCATCTTGCTGTGCTTCATACCCTGTGAAATTTGCTCTAGAGGCCACGTGTAAGTGGCCAGCACATTCTGAGCAGCTCCACTTGGCTGGCGTCAGGTTGGTGCAAAATCCTTTTCATCAGAAGACCATTTTTTAAGTGCCTTTTTTTTTTAAATCAGTTTTTCTTAGTACCTTTCCCTTCCAACATCAGTGGCAAGGGTTAGACTCTGGGGTTTTAGTTTCTTTTTAAGAGATTGCATTTATGTTTAAATAAACCATAGCATTGTATTCACGTGGTTAATCTGAACAACTGGCTCATCCAGTCACTGCTACCCCTCTTAGAGAACACCCACCCCACAGCATTCAGCTGGAACATTACCACTTGCCTCAAGGTTAACTTCTCCTGTTCTTGGGAATAGATTTTCTTCCCCCTTCTGTAGCTTCAGTTGCTGCTTTTTTCCCCCAAGGCCCAGAAAAATAAAGGTTGGGTGGCAGAGCTGGAGCATTCTCTGGTGCTTTGGGCCACAGAAAGTGGTGGCAGCTGCCTGCAGCTCTGTTGGATCTGCCCCCCCTTCATTGTACCTTTGCAGAACTTGTAGCTCACAGGGCAGGGGACCTTCGCTGTGCTGCATGGCTTTCACAGACCCCAGCTCTGTGTTGGGGATGGCTTCTAACCAAGAACCTGTGGGGCAGAAAGGCTTTGCTCCTGGCGAGCATTACCATCCTCTTTCAACACCTTCCAAGCCTCCCTGGTTGCTTGCTCCAGCATCCCACTGCTCCTGGCTCAGGGGTTGACTCCTAGACCTTGGTGGCACCTGTGGGCTGGGGAAGGGCTACCTGCTCTCCTGCCCCTGGCTTCTGGTGTCCTCTTCTGTAGGACCGTGTTGCACCAATGGGCCTTTTCTCCAGCTCCCTCTTCTGGCCTGAACTCGGTGGCTTTTGCCTCTTCTTGCAGAGGCTGAATGTCTGCATTTAATCTTTGCCTTTTGGGCTCCAGTTCTGCTGGGGCCTTTGTACTGGAACAGCCTGGTCATATACGAGCTGGTTCTTTCCTTACCTGCTTTAAAGAGCATCTCCCATCATCACCAAGGCCCTATTAAAACCATCCACACCTGGATTGCTGATGAAGCAGATTCCTTAAGCTCTTGTGTCTTCCTTGCTCTGGCAGCCTTCTGCATGGGGCAGCCAGGAACCTTCCCCCTGATGTGAACACAGGGAAGAAGGTGGTGGGTGTTGATCTAGGGCACATCTGGCCTCAGCCTAGCTCCATACCAACACCTGTAACGCTATCACTTAATGTTAGCTTCAAATCCTGACCTGGAACATGTTCAGCCACCCAGGCAGGACAATAGTGCCCTTGATGTCCCCAGACCACTGAAGGTGCAAACTCAGACCCTGCCTGTGCCCTCCACTAATGGCCTGGACCTGGTTTCACCTCTCCAACACAGCTGTGGTGTGTTCCCAGCACACAAGACTTACAGGAACATGGTCAAGAGCCCTGCAGAGTAAAGGCCCAGGGACTTGCTTTTGCTGATAAAACTCCACTGATGGGCATTTCCAGGGACCTTTCCCCTCCCAGTAACCTGGGGCAGCTGCTGCACAATGGGCACAAGGTCTTGGAGGCTGCTCTTCCTAAAACCGATTACTTGTTTTAAGCACTACAACTCCTAGAGAGAGTCCAGAGGAGGGCAACAAGGATGGTAAGAGGACTGGAGCTTCTCCCTTACGAGGAAAGGCTGAGGGAGCTGGGCTTGTTCAGCCTGGAGAAGAGAAGGCTGAGAGGGGATCTCATCACCACCTACAAATATCTCAAGGGTGGGGGTCAGGAGGATGGAGCCAGACTCTTCCCAGTGGTGCCCAGCGCCAGGACAAGGGGCCATGGGCACAACCTGAAGCAGAAGAGGTTCCAGTTGAATGTGAGGAAGAACTTGTTGACTTTGAGGGTGACAGAGCCCTGGCCCAGGCTGCCCAGGGGGCTGTGGAGTCTCCTCTGGAGATACTCAACCCCGCCTGGACACTGTCCTGTGCCCCCTGCTCTGGGTGAGCCTGCTTGGGCAGGGGGCATCCTGCTGGGTGAACTCCAGAGGGCCCTGCCAACCCTTGCAGTTCTGTGATTCTGTGAAAGCTCACAGCTCCCTTTTGAGGGTTTGCTGGAGTTGCTGCTAGCCTACTGCATAGGTTTTGGCTGATAAAGCCTCTCACTGCCTCACGGTGGCAGAGGCTTCACTCTGGGGTGCAGAGCTTTAAGGATATATGGCTCCAGGCTTTTCTTGCTCCATCTCCTGCTTGTCTTCCCCCCCCCAGCCCCCATGATGCTCAAGTACTGGTTCCTCCCTTTTCCGCCGTTCAAGGGCAAGTTAATTCCCTCTGTGCAATTCCATACGTGAAAGCAAAAGAGCAGCATTACTGCCTCTGCCAAGGCAGGGCCTTGATTGCCAAGGCAGAGGGAAAGGATTCAGGTTCAGTAACTGATGGAGGGAAGAGGAGTTCAAGCAGTGGAAGAGGCTGTCCAGGGAAGTGTCTGAGTCCCCATCCCTGGAGGGATTTAAAAGCTGAGCAGACGAGGTGCTTAGGGACAGGGTTTAGTGGTGGGATGACAGGGTTAGGGGAATGGTTGGGCTTGATGATCTTGAAGGTCTTTTCCAACCTAAATGATTCTATGATCATCTGTAGTGCTGCCCGGGATGGGGACAGGTCACACCAAGACAGAGAAAGGCATCTCAGAAGAGGGTTTTGTTGGGACAGCCCTGTTACCTTCACCCAATGACTTACCCTTGCTCCCAGCACCAAGCAGAGCAGCTCAGGGCATCCTTACAGCCACCAGGAGCCACTGCTGGGCTCATCCTGCTGCAGAGCAGGGCGCTGGGGAAGGAACCCACAGTGCTGGCCCTACCACACTTTCCCAAACACGAAGGCTGGCTCTGGCTCCAGGAGAAATCCCAAACATCCCTCACCTCAGGGTAGATGTTCTCTGTTCAGCCTCAGAGGAGATGTAGGAGAACCTGCTTGATAACATCATCTTCTGGCCTCCCATCCCACACCTTTTCCATCTCTTACTGCCCTGCACTGTTGAGCCCATCTGCTGCCATCAGCCACCTCTGCTTACTTGCCCAGGAATCTTCCCAAATGTCTCTGTTAATGACAGCAGGATTGTCCATACTGATGCTAGACTAGGAAAACAAACAAAAAAAAAAAAGCTTGATAAAGCAGCATCATTAATTGCTAACGAGGAGCTGCCTTCCTCTGGGAAGGAGGGGGATCCCAGGCTGCTGCCTGCCTGACTCTGGGCTGTTTGAAGTCTGGTCCTGTTTCTCCATCGCCTATGGGACCTCTTGGAGTCCCAACCTTCACGTTGCAGGCTGGGAGCAGCGCTCCCCTCCTTTGTTTTTATGTTAAAGTACATCCCCGTGGGGCTGGGGAGGGAGAAGGGGCACAGGAGCCGCAGGGCCTCTGTTTATGTATCTGTCAAGTGTTCTGCTTTTGGGGTAGTTTTTTGGTTTGGTTGGGGTTTTTTGGGTTTGTGGGGGTTTTTTTGTTTTGTTTTTTCTTAAAGCTCTGATAATAAATCAGTCCAAGCCACCCACTTTGTCCTGTCACCTCACCCACTGGCATTTTCCTTTGCCAAGGGAGATGAGCCGGTCCCTGGCATGTCACACTTCATACCCTGCAAATGGCACCAGGGACATCCCTGAACCCTTCTTAGGGGCCTGTTCAAGA